CCTCCCCCATGCATGCCGCATATCCCACCCACCTCATCCTGGATTTAATCCCTAAAAATATCAGGTGAGGAGCACAGCTCATCATTATGCAAATTTCTTCATGATTCATCTTCCACCCTTCCAGGTCTAACTATCCTCCTCAACACTGTTGTCAAAGACCCTCAGTCTATGTTCCCCTTTCAAGGTGAGAGACCAAGAATTGCACCCATAAGCACAAGCAGCAAAATTACATTTTTATATATTAGACAGGAGGATAAAAGATTTTGGACTGAATGATAGCAAGGATTCCCTGAATTTAATCTGCTCTTGAATGTCATTCTGACTTGTTACTGTCATCCCAAATTACTTGAATTTGTCACATTTTTACCGACTCATTAGCTGTCCTTATAGTTTGGTTTACTTCTGAATGCTGATGATAAGACTTGATCGTGTACTCTGTCTTTTCTGCATTTATTTCTAGACCAACATCCCTACTGGCCCTTAAGAGTGTTTATGTGTTCACTTTTATAGCATTTGTATTGTCACCCAACAGATTAATATTATCAGCATAGACCTACAGCTGATGTGTCCCATTCAGTTCCAAGCTGCCCTGGTTTTCTTAAACTTTGCTGCTGGTATATTCTAAGGAAAAATTGAAAAGCAGTGGTGATAGAACATCTACCTATTTCAGGCCATTCTGAATAGGAAATGTAATTTGCAAATGTTACCACATGAATTTTGCTAAAGGTTTCACTTAAACACGTTTTAATTAGTCTGACTTGCTTCTTAGGTAAACCAAATTCAAGCAAAATATTGTAAAGAGCTTCTCTTTTAACTGACAACTCTAGAGTGTTACATATGACATCCCGTACTAACAAACTCTACAGTTTTATTTATAATTTGTTTGTTTAAATTAGTCACACCAAATGTATTTATAATTTGTTTTGTTTCTTTTTCCCATAAGTTTGTGATAACCGGATTTATGAATATCATAAACAAGGCATTGACTGGTCAGTTTCCTCGATCAATAGCACATGTCTCTGTTAAGAGAATTCAGGTTT